ATGACCATTTTATATGGTGAAACTTTACGGGTTTGCCTTGTATTTCATGGTGGTACACGCTTCTTAGCAAATTCTTTTTTCAACTTTTATACGGTCTGGAGGAGTGCCTTTCGATTTTAAAAGGGTTAATAACTAGAAATTTTTTGTGGATTGCGAAGTGTCCATTAAAAGAGCATGGTGTATGTCCATGTATCAATGCCCCTTACAGCGAAAGAGTAAACAACGCAGTTTGCATCCGTCGCAATATTCAATTAACCTCATATGACATCTTCCTCATGGCATAGAGTAATGTGTAACTTCCTTTGAAACAAACATAATGAGCAGGTAGTCAGGATAACTTAAATGCAAGTTTAATGGAAGGTCGCGTTCAAAGTTATACGGCAGTTAAATAAGTTTTTTTTCAAATGGAAAGATACCCTTTCCCCAAAAACAAATTTTGCTGGAGACATACTTTCCTACCAAATGAGTACAAGAAGGAATATTGTCGTTGATAACCTATCTCGTGAAATGTCACCCGAAATTCTTAAGTGTGTTTTCGGCTCGTGCAGCCTAATCGCAATCTATTTTAGTCATATAAGGCTTCCGACTTTTTGGAAGGTTTCCTTTTGAACGGCTGCCAAAAAATAAACTTTGTAAAAATGGTCACTGAACGTGTATGCACTTTTCTCATAAATTTTAAATTCCTTTTGAGTTCCAACATAATTTATAGGAAGCATGCGCAAAAAATAATCTTTCTTTCACCCGTTTGGTAGTAAATTAGGTCTTCTCCGATTTGAATGCTTGAAGAAAGAGTACCTTTCGGTTTTAAAAAGGTTCCTTAGTTGCCGAATAATTTTAAAACCTAAATTCGAGATTTCCAAGGTACATATTGCGTACACTCTGTTTCAGGAAGATCCCACATTCTGCTATGCCATGAGGAACTGGGCACATATTGTACATTAAATATTGAGATGGATGTGGATAAGGTTGGAACCTTAGTAGGAAACTTTAAAAATGGACGCAGAGAATGTACTACGAAGGCATATTTCCGGGTTCAAAAAGGTCACATGGTTATAAACTTTTTCAAAAACCGAAAAAAACTTTATTTCAAATATAAAATTGGAAGACGGCGTAATTGGTCACAAAACAAATACAAGAAGGGATATTTTTCTGCATGCATTCTATTAATTTTATTTGATTTTTTACTAGTATTGCAAATCAATGATAAAACCTCTTAGTACCTGAGTAGTTAATTCTTACGAATATGCTTTTTGCAGCTGGCATTTTGCCATGACTAAAATATAGTGAGATTAAGCTGCACGATGATGAACATTGCAACACTAGGTAAGCAATTTTTTTCGAATCTCGAACACCCCCCCCAAGAACTTCAGATGAAATTTAAGGACATAGGCAATCTGCTGCAAGTTGCAACTATTTCTATATTCTGCAACAGTAGTTTAAGTAGTGCACCTCATATACCCCTAGTCCCAGCATTTCGTCCCGCGGAAACGGTGGTTCTAGGGGTTTGGTGGGTGGAGAGTTAGGATAGGCAATTGAGTTTACTCTAATAACCATTATATTCATTTCTATTTTATTGTATTTAGAAATGTTGTTAATTTATATCTGTAGATTTTCCTAATCGTTTAACGTGTTGCGGAAAAACCCAATTATGAAAACGTAGGTTTTTTGAAATTCCTGAAAAGATAGAAATTGTAGTTAGGTCATCTACTTCAACTTGCCTGAGGTTCAATTTACCGTTCTGGTGTTAGCTAAGTATAATCCGCGGCACAAAGCACCGCGCACACCTTCAATTTACATGCGGAACAACTTACACCCAGTGGCCGCGGGAAACCAATTCTATTAATTTTTTCCACTTTCCACTTACTTCTACGAATTTTCTTCACTGTCCATCCTATTTTCCCACCCCCAAAACTACCTAAAACCACCGTTTCCAGGGGACAAAATGCTGGAACTAGGGGTAGATGAAGTGCACTACTTAGACTACTTTTGTCCTATGTTCTTTTCCTATTTTAGGCAGTCGAAAAGGAGTTCTTCAAAAGTTGGCAACCCGACTTAACTGATATATCTCGGGATCAACCTCGACGTAGGATCTTCCACTACCAAGCCGGCACAGAAAACGTTAGTGCAAAGGGCTACTTGTCGTTAGTTGAACAACGTAAGCCGACGAAAGACCGGCGGAGGCGACATTTCAAAATGGCGTGATTCAACTCTGTTTTAGCATTTTCCTGCGATTCAAAAATCTTCGCCCCCACTGATTGGTTGCTTTCACTTGTTTAGCGGTATAAACCTTTGATAGTTTTATTTAGTTTGACGGCTAGGAGAAAGACAGAAGATTTTACCTATCTGAATCAACGCTCACTTGTCCGTTCTGTGAAGCACTCATCTCGGGGCTCAGTCTTCATCCCCGCCAGCAGCCAACACCAACAAAGTCTAAGGAGATTGGAGTGGTCATTTCTGGCAGATTAGCCGTCATCAGCCAGTCACACTCCACCCTGAGCGGGAGTGCCATAGGGGCCATGTTTAGGAGGAGCTACTGTAACTCTACTCTCCGCCCTGGAGGACAGACAGTATGGCGAGTGCTGCAAGAAACTTGCCTAAGTTTTGTAATTGTTTAATTATTTCTGGCAAACCAGCGAAAACACATATATGAAAAGTTAGAAAAAATAATGAGCAGCATTAGACATATTAAGTACTTAAAAGAACCGTAAGAAGTATTAAGTGATTGTTAGGCAAAATAAAAATTTTTCGATAAAACCCAAGTTCCAGAGATGTAAAAATAGCTATAAATTAGAACGATAAATTGGAATATTTTATTAAGTTGAAAACGGAATGGAACCAATTTGTTTATATAAAAAAAGGTTTCTTTCGTCAAAATATTTTGTATATTTTACCATTAGTGGATAACTATTAATTGAAGATCGTCAAATAAAGTCTGTCACTATTTTCTTCGTTTTTAGTGTCTTCATTGATAAGTTGATAAATTGCGCTTCTGTTCGAGGTTTAAACCAAAATCTTTAAAATAAGATATACATATATAAAGAGCATTGAACGAAAGAAAGTATTTTTCGACATTATTTTTTATGAAGATGGCCATGTTGCCTCTACTTAGAAATGTCTCAAAACAGCAAACCACATTGTCGAGAAAAAATCATGTCCGCAACGGAAGTCTGATATTGTTATTCCTAGGATTAATAAAAAGACTTTTTATGCTAGATTATTTTCTTAAAAAGTGCTTTAATTAGATATTCAGCTGACGAATGTCTGTTTACATTACATTTTTCCAAGGTAATGTCAGAATGAAATTGGAGACTTTAACAATTTTTTAATATACCTGAAGATGAACGATTCACTTGGACTGGAAATGAA